CTAGAGCTTACCACAAATGTGCCATGTTTGGATAGAGGCCGCCTCCGATAATGGCACGAAGCAGCGGAATCTTCTCTGAATTCATGTTAGATGATTCGTCCATACAATTGGTTGAAGTGAGAAACCTGTAAACAGAAATAGAGGTAAGGAATAAGACTTTGATTAAATTAAATATAACATATAATATTTTGGGGTTTTTTTTTTTGAAGTTTTCGAGTGTGTAGAAGAGCTGGAAAAGGATGTAATCAAAAAAAGCCATCAAGACAAGACCCATGGGCGAATCAAGCTCAAGACGAATAACAAAATCCTAACTAACATATGTGTTGAAAGAAACGTGGATAAACTGTGGATGAAATTGATCGTAAATGAAACAACTTGTATTGTCCAACCTTAGTCGAGCTAAGGCTTGTATTAAAAATAGAGCATACTCTATCAAATATTAATTAGTTCTAGTATGCAGACTGAATTTTTCTTGTTTTTTAATTCATAACTTTTGCATTAATAAACCTACTCTATACATTTTTTGTTTAATAAAGTTAATTAACAATCAAATAATAATGTGTTTATTTTTGTTGCCCTTTTGTAAATTCAATTCTATAGCAAAGATTATAGCAGATGTAAAATTTGCCTTCATACATACTCAAAGCAATATCTTTGGTTTATTTTGATGATAATTCGAACAAAAAAAGGTGTACTTACTTAGAGTTATGCAGAAGCTCCGAAAATTGTTGCTTCATGCGTTCCAGCTGCTGAAGCGTCATCTTGCTGAGAAAGTTATTATAGCAAAAGTCGCGGTCTCGATGCGCTTGCAGGCTTTCGCGGTAACCGCAAATGGTATTATGTAGCATTATGTGATCGCTGCGCATATTTTGGGATAGCCTGCGTTTGGCCTCGTCGACCCGCTGCTCCTTATCCAAGGGCGTATAGAAAGGACTCTTGTAGGAGAGAGCAGCCGCAACTGAGGTAATAGGATCCAGACAACGAAATAGCGCTGATATCAGAATCATTTTACCCATTTGGGGATCGATAGGCATCTTGGCCAGATGCATACCCAGCGGCGTCAGCTGGCCATTATTATCAAGTGCTTCAATCCTAAGTAGATTTATTGCGATTTCCAATTCCAAAATAATACATCACCACAACTTACCGGTTCAGTAAGTTAATAGCAGTGCTTACGGCCTTCTGGGCAGGTGCATCAATCATTGTTGGAAAAAATGCGTAGGGATCATCGATGTGCAGCAACTTGAGACTGAGTATGATGGATTCCAGCTTGCAGCGTAATATTTCCGGTGTCGGCACTTCCGACATAAGCGCTTCACGTGCACGACTGAACAGGTTAAAACAGACGCCAGGCTGCACGCGACCTGCGCGTCCCTTGCGCTGCTGTGTATTTGCATGTGTGACCCAACACTCCTCCAGAGATTGTATGTTCGTATCAATGTCATAGCTGCTAACCTTTGTGCGGCCAGTGTTGATGACATAAACAACGTCATCGATAGTTACCGAAGTCTCGGCAATGATGGTGGATATGATGACTTTCCGTTTTCCATTGGGTGCTCTTCTGAATACCGACTGCTGTTCCACCGAGGGCAGCATTGAATGCAGTGGATAGACTAATAGATGATCGCGCCAGCGCTGACCCAAGGGTGAGCGAGGCCTTAACAGTGTGTTGTGCAATTCAGATATTTGAGAATATCCCGGTACAAAAACCAAGATTGCACCTTCTGACTTCATTGTGCATATATAATAAATGAGATTCGCAATAAACTCAATGTCCTCGCAACCCTCGGAGCAGGGCAGTCGAAGCTGGTCCAGAACTTTGCTGTCGTACCTGTCACGCACCCGTCTTATATATGGCTCAATCATGGGTCTATGATCTGACTGATCGCTACGCGAACGGGCACGTCTATTCTTTCGAGAGTCAAATTGATAACCCGTCAATGCGAGCACATCCTCAAGATAGAGCATCTCAACGGGATGCATGACGCCTTCAATGCGAAACATTGGACATGCATTAAAATAATTGCAGAAATCTTGTTCCCGCACCGTCGCGCTCATCAATATAACTTTCAACGCAGGACGATGTGGCAGTATAATCTTAAGCAATGCCATCAGGAGATCCGTCTCAACGCTACGCTCATGAATCTCGTCCAGGAGAAGAACACTGACGTTATGCAGCAACGGATCTCCCTGCATCTGCTGTAAAAGGATGCCTGTAGTGCAGTACGTTATCGAAGCACGTTCACGTGGCTTGCAACTTTCCAGGCGAATCTGGTAACCTACAGAGTGACCAAGCGCTTCAGCACGCTCAAAGCTAACTCGCTCCGCCACAGTTATGGCCGAGATGCGACGAGGCTGCGTGCACACAATGCGGCAGCCAGATCCCATTCCTTTGGAAATGCTATCGTCCAGCAGTAGCTGCGGCACCTGGGTTGTCTTACCGCAACCGGTGCTACCCACAATTAATAAAACTTGATTTTTTTGCACAGCGTCGATAATATCTGCAGAATGATTCATTGTAGGCAGCTTCATGCGCTCCTTATAGCGATCTTGAAAGTCCGCACGTTGAAAGCGTTCCCTTTGCTGCTCTTTAAGTTGGGCATCTAGGTTGCTGTTCCGCAGGTGCAGGTCTTGGTTCTGTTTTTTGGTCTCTTCAATGAATGCATCAAAATTGACGCTTAGCAAATGGCGAAACTGTTCTTGGAACTTGGCATCCAACTGTTCCTGCCCAGTTTCGCGTGCAGCTTTAAACTGTTCCATGTATTCCTTGACACGCGTAAGCACACCCGGCGGTACGCTGACATCGCACCCCAGATTAATCTTGTTCTCATTTTTGGCTTCGCTTTTACGTTGCCGCGAAAGGTTTTTATAGTACAAGCCAATCTCCTTTCCAGTTAGTCCTGGCGGGCGACCGTTGCGCCGTGACTGCGATCTTCCCCCCCTCTGCATTCTTTTTATAAACAATAAACAATAAATAGTTCGACAATAACCAAATAACAGGCTGAGCAAACCAGAAATTTTATTCGATAACTATTTTGCACCCCTGATAATTTAAATAAGTGGTATTCCCTTTCTACACTTCTGAATGAAGCCACATTCTCACCTCCAAGTTAATGCACACAGTGCGTAAAAGAAAAAAGAAATTAGGGCTGTAAGAACAAAATTTCAATTCTCGGTCATGGAACCAGTTTAAGAACCCAATTAAGAACACATTTTCAGTCTAACAGATTCATTAGTATTCGTACATTTATGGTACATTTATACCTCTTCTTTTGAAAACAAAAAAACAACTGCAAAGCTCTTGTTAAAATTTCTTATTCTTCGCATTAATTTTTAATTTCTAATGACTGACTGAATGTTCATATTGGCGTTAATGCAATCAATTGTTATTATTAAGAAGTACGTTGCCTTTACATTTCCCCATAAAAAAAAACACATTTTTCACATTTGCAAAAAATGTTGGAATTCGCCCCGATTAATTCATTTTTTTGCGAATATTTATAGATTTTCGTATCGATGTTCTGAAAAATATGAAAGTATCATTACTACAAACAGCTGAAAGAGCACCGAAGGTATGCGGGAACTTTAAATTCAAATTTTAAATTGTACCAAAATCACAGATTTTAATGTTTTAAGATGGCAAAATCTCGCAAGGAATTCATTAAATGGAGCTCCTACTACGAGGCAGTATTATTTGTCCTTTGGAAGGATAACTTTGCGGCGCTTAAGTCTGAGCGGGTGCATTATTTATTATTAATTATTGGCTCAGTGAAGTCTCTCAACTTTTCCCAAGTAGTGCCCTAGAGCACAGGTAAAGTATATTTTTTATTTCTTATTGTAAAACAAAATAGAATACGTTTCTTGTTAGCGCCTGATTCCATGCTTAACATTTCTTAAATTTATATACTTCACATTCTGCGATTCCATTAGCAAGGGTCCGTTGTCGGTAACGGGCAATATGTAATCGTAAAAGTCATCTATCATTTGAATCTTCCTTATATGAGGAGTGTTTCACTGGCTACTGAATTCCACTTTAAAGTAACGAAAATTATTAATCACACCTCTGAAAATAAGACTGTTAGTCCTGAGTAACAGTGCACTTCATATCCGTAAATTAATCCAAAAGACAGGAGATGCGAAGATTGAACACTTTTGAACTATGAATAAATTAAACTAATTGCAACAATAAACTTAAAATTTTATTGCGATATTTAGCTAAAACTAGAACGCAGTGTATAATTACAAATGTAGGGGCCGAGCATTCTCGACTGTTTTTTTTTTAATATTGTGACATATTTTTAGCGTCTAAATGTTACCCAAGTAACCCAATAAATATTGTTTTGTAAAACTTATACCTTTTAAATATGAATATATATATATATATATATATATATTGTAAATATAGGGAAGTAACAAAGTATCTCTATTGACATTAATGTTTTATATTTTTATCGTAAATATATGAATTCTATAAAATGTATAATTTATTGCAAGCACATTTTTCATTATATTTAGGTTCTCTGCAAGAATCTTTCAAAATATTTTACCTATGGCCAACGCTGATCGGAACAGTCAATTGGCTTCACTAAAAAATGCGATGGACATATAAAAACCAATTTACTCTGCTTGTACATAAATGTACGTACATATTGTATATGTTGTAGTTTTCTTTTATACTAAGTTAACATAGGTTTATGTATGTAATGCTTTTCATTTTAAGACATAATAGGCATTCATTTATATGAACAACAAATTAGAAGTTTTAAACTTCCCAAGTAATATAGTTGCGTTATTACATGAAGTGGTATAATTAATGTAGTTGAATGCATTTGATTAGATAACGCAAACATAAATACAACAGTTAAAACAAAACTTGTGCACATTGGTATAGTGTATAGGAATATTGTTGATTAAATAACATATTTAGACTGACTTCATTTGGAAACTATAGTATTGGTGATATACACTGAACAATTAACAGATTTAACAACAAATTCCTATTAATGCTGGGGTCATAAACATATTTATTCATTAAATTGGAAGTAGAAATGTGGGGTGGATTGCAAGCAGTGGTGCTTAATTTCTCTCCTTAAGTACGTAATTAATGAGGTATTTATTATGTGTGTAAATGTGTGTAATTTTAGGATTCGAAAATTCTCAAAAGTATTATTATGCTCTTCTACAGACGAAACCTCGCTCTGAAGCACAAACGAAATAAAACATCATTGGTTGTTACATTAATTTCTTGTATCTAAACATAAATCGCTAACTCACGTTTACAAAGTAAAGAAACAAAATTCTAGTCAAATCTCAAGTTGTAGTTGAAAAATAAACAATAGTAATGTTAATAATATTTAAGGAAACAGCAAGAATATTTCTGTTTTACATTAGAACAATTGTGGGTGATACTTAGGGAAAATTTAATCTGCGGCAACTAGGTTTTAATGTCTGGGGTACTGCGAAGACTGTCGTTATTGTGGCTTGTTTTGCCTGGATTCGTTATTTTCCTCTGGCTTTGGCAAGAGCGGTGTTGACGCCGCTGTTCCATCTCTGTCCTCGTTATCTCCATTCTGAAGATCACCTGCCACATCCGAAGTAACCAAACTACTGAATGAACCATCTGCAGTATGTCCTGGACCAATTCTTGGTCCTGTTGGGATTTGACCACTAGCACTATTACTTCGATCATCATGGGACAAAGTATTATTTGTAGGTGACGATGTTGTACTTCTGTTTGGTTTAGAAGAGCGTCTTGCACCCTGAGAGGCTGTCAGGAATCGAGGCTTCTCATCTTCAGTTATCGAATGCAGAAGACGTTCAACTTCGTCATCGAATGTTTCACTGGAGAACGTGCCCGATTTACGACTTTTTTCTAACAATGTTGCTTTTTTTGCAGTAAGATACAAGTTTCGTTTAATTGCAATATATATCACATCCCCAGAAGCGCGAACCGAGTAATCAGGAACGAAAGTTTGCCGAATTTTCGTATCCATATTCAAAGACTGCATTGATCCCATCTGGGTTGGAGAATCTGCAACGTCTTTATTAGTAAAGGCTAATTCATATTATATTATATTATCATTCTGTCACACTTACCAACAACAACATTCTGTACCAATGCTTGGGTTCCAAAATAAGTAAATGGCCCACTTTCAAAAAGAAGACCTTCCCTGCCAATCGTCACTTCTACACGACCCTCTAATATAAGTACGAAAAAATCAACAGCTTTTCCTTGTGTGAATATAAACAGACTGGGATCATCCTTATTTTTCCCCTTTGATTTAATGTTGTGGAAAACGTCTTGATTAAGTAAACGCCGCAAGATCGGTTCTGATATAACATCTTTCTTAAACGCTTCAACAGCTGTAGGCAAACAACAGAAATTATCGTACGGTTTTAAGTATTTGTATAAACAAGAAAAAAATAATATATTTTTACCTGTACTAAGGTATTGAAATGTTGCCAACGTTAATTGAGGAGATATATGCACAGTTTGAGCCTCGCGACGTTCGGCAAACGCAGAAAAGTCGGCTTTTTTATAACGACTGCGACGAGTTTTTGTACGGTTGTCGACAAACACATCGGTTTCATCAACAATTTCCGCTTGTATAAGCTCCTCAATTACATCCTCCAATGTAACAAGGCCAACGGTTTCATAAAATGGATCGCCGTCGCCTTCACTGTTGACGCGATGCACAAATGCTATATGTCCGATTGTACCTTCCTTGAATTGATTGAACATAACATCTAGCGTGTAGTCCTCAAAAACAAAATGCACTGGATTTTGGTAAAATTCACAAAGTGTCTTCAACGGGGTGTTGTCATCAGTATCAACGAATGCCAAATCTTTAATATACAGCAAAGTGACAATGTTCTTCCTATCCCCATCGTATACTGGAATACGCGAATAACCCGAGTTCATGATGTCCGACACGGTTTCAAAGTCCAGCACAGCTTCCAATGAAAGCATGTAAGCGTCATTAATGTGTGTCATAATATCGGCAACCGTCTTTTTGCGCAGCTCCAACGCGCCTGATATAATATTCACTTCATTTTTATCCAAATCATTTACATCGTTTGTGACCTGCGCAATAATCATTATTTTTAGGTTTCGAAGAAGCTTCTAAAATGTTTATTACTAAAAGTAGTTTGGTACTTACTCGAACAAGTTCCTTTAGGCGTTCACGATTAAATACATTGCCAATCTCTTCACCCAATAAAGCATCTAGGATACGAGAAATTGGGTACGACAGCGGGGCTGTAATGGCCATTACCGTTTTGGTAATCAATATAGTTTTGGCTCCAATAGCCAAGCCGTGTCTTGAACAAACAGCCTGAAGGGCACATAATTTTTGGATGAATAATTATTTCTGGTCATTTTTTATAAAGTTTGGTTTTAATTTGAAAGATGATAAGGTTATGTAACAGCGTTATGCAGCTCAAATTGATCTTTTTTTAAAGTTAGATAAAAACTTTTGTGTTGTTAAACAGAAAAATGTCGTGAATAACGCATATGAATCACATTTTGTTTAGTCAATTATAGCTTGGAAACGGGGCATGAAAGTCTCTCTAGATAGACAAGACTTAGAGACAATAAATTAGAACATAGAATATCTCTCTCAGTTTCTCAACAACCGATAAATATCGATTCTATACATGTTATCGAAAAGTATTTTCAGATTACAAAGAAGCTTTTAACCTTATGATATTAGATTGGGAAAACGGATGCACAGTTAGAAAATTTCTGTGTTTGCTTGTGGAAAGATATATTTGTGAATGTAAAGTAAAATGATTTTTGATATTTTAACAACAGATCAAGAGACATCCAGATATAAATAATTAACAATTATTACTTTTGTATGAGTCAAGGGGTTCTCTTCATACTTTTGCTTAAAGTTGTCCATCTGTTGTTTTCATAAAAAGTTGATGCTGATTGCATTAGAGAATAAAATGTTGTATTGCTGCGAGTTTTCTGCCCATTTTCCGACCTTGGGAGACAATTTTCCCAAAGGCTCAATTTCGTATTCTAAGAATTTAGGTTTTAAAATCGATATTTATTGATATGGTGAAATTGGTATCGCAAAAAAATTATATGCCCGTTCTGCGTATAATTCCAATTTTAAGTCTTTAGCTTTTGTAGTTTACGTGATCGACACGTACATATAGACGGACTTGGAATATTCGGAAAAAAGCAATATTATTGCTTTCAAGCAATAATGTGTACACAAAGCATTTTCTATTTTATTACGACATAAAGCTCCTGTTTGACTTCTTTGCGTTAGACACAACTTTTACTGTTTCACAGCAAATGTTTAAGTAAAGCATATTTTGCTTAAAATATTTTAAAGGCTTTTATCTTCTTTAAAACCAGGTAGATATTGATAAAGTGATTCAGTTGCATTTTCACAAAATATAGTGACAGAGCTTGAGGGTCTGTAATAGACGTATTTTGTAAATGGATTACTTTCATTGAGCGTGTGTAACTATTACAGAACCCAACCGATATAGTTAAACCGACAGCCTACCTGAGGTGTTATTTCACCAAAGAGCACGATAGCCAGGGTGGAAAATATGACAGCAAAGAGTCCAGAGGTCAAACCATCCAGTAGAATGGTAAAGGTGGAGTTAACCAACACATTACCCAAGAGAATACTGCACAACAGATAATTACCTTGATCTCTGACAGGTGCAATTTTCGCGGCATACTTTCTTTCTTTTTCCGTGCCAGTATTTCTTAATATCTATGATAAAGACAATTATTAAAATGTCTGCTAGCCTAAAGTGTACCTGCATACTTTTAATTCGGTGCGGTCCATCGCCATCAGTCCCAAGTTCAGACCCGAGAATAGGGCCGAAAAACAGAGGCACGTTACAATAACAAGAATTGCCACCCAAACGGGCAATAAAGGTTGATGCGTTTCGATTTTCATCCATTTGGCATTGCCCTGATGCTCAAGTGGCGTAGTCTGTGCTGCGCTGCTGTGCTGTTAGGAAATTCATTAATTGCCTATTGTTTTTATTAGTTATCAATTAAAAGCGCAAAACTTACAGTTGTACCTTCGTCGGTTTTTGCACAAACATACATCACGCTGCTTGAGTACGGAAACTTAACCGTATATGTAGCTGTCGTTCCGTCCGCGGACACCTCTTCGGGCTTAAAGATTTCTGTTGTCGGCTTTAGACATGCTCCCTGATACTCGTTTTCCTCAATTGTAAACGCGATTACAGTGTTTTTCTCCAAGCCAATTCCGAAAATGCGAATCGTCTGTTCCTTATTACTCAATACACTCGGTATGCCATCATTTGACTCTGAGCTATCATCTTCCAAACGCAATCCAATAATCCGAACGGAGCTATTTACTTTACTTTCTCGAGGTATCCGAACTCTAAAACGAAATGTACCAAAATGAGTTATTAGCTTTGAGTTGGTTTTTGATGGAGCAAAGAATAATCCAAAGAATAATGGTTCTTAATTATAATAGAAAACATATTGGTTATGGTTTTGCAGAATCTTAAGAGAGTTGTAAAGGTCGTAATTGCAGTGTTTTGTGAATATATATTAGAACTTAATTTTCGATCGATCATTCCGATGTCAATAGGATATGACTCATATTTCACAGCTTTATAAGACGGAGGTCCGATGTCGCTTGGATTTAGCTCACATATTGAAAGCATTGTGAATTTCCTAAATGCCATATTTATTAGATTTCTTAAGGGTTATGAAGGAAGGAAAGGTAAGATTTAATATAATTAACGGATCTTCAAAGAGCCTCAATTTTCGATGGTTAATTTGGCAGCTCTACGATAAGGTGTCTGATCCGGCCGTCACGAACATTTCTGTAAAGAGAAGCGGCCCCCATTCCTGAACGTGGCTTTAAATTTGAGACTAGTTTGATACAAATTGACAAGAACATATCGACTCTGCTGATCGGCAATATATATATTTTAAGAGGCAGGAGACGTTTCCCTTCATTCGTTACATATTTTGAAATAAAAATGTAATACCCAATACAAGGGGATGAAGAGATAGATAGTCCACCCTTAAAGGAGACCTTTCTAGAATTGACATAGATGTGTAGATAAAGTGAACAACGTCAAGAAGACCAATTGGCATAGTCATAAATTGTTATTAGACTGATTTCGCTGATCAAAAGAGTTGTGACTAAATGAGCACCCACTTGACTATTATGCATCGACTATTTTTTTTGAGAGGCGTAAGCATTTTTATTATCATATCAGTAGAGTTATTTTATAAAACGGTTCCAACATACTAATAACTCGAGTCAACCAGAAAATACTGACAAGAGCTGCATCCAAAAAAATATAATCTCTTTTTTGAAACGATCGCAAGATTTGAGCTTGCGTCATAACCGACATGGCCTTATCGCTTATAACTTTATTATCAACGCAATACTACACACTCGTATATCTCATTTGATCAAGTACGCATCACAAGCATTCACGTATGCTCAAGTGGACGTGGGGCGTTTCGAGGTTTGAAGGGCGCCCATGATAAATGGGTGCGAGTTTTTAATATTTTTCGTATCTTTTTTTTTCACAGTACTCCAATCAAATGGATAAGAAAAAGTACAATGCAAAAATAAACATATTTTTGAGCTCATTTTGGTATTATAAGGAATACAAACTCCCTTAAGCTTCACGTACAGTATACACAGACCCAATATAAGAAATTTAACATATTTAAAAGTTCAGCTCTCGCTCTTTTTGTTTCTAAGATCGCCCTGGTCAGAATATGTATACTTTATGGGGTCGGAATGTGCAATCAAATCAGAAGTCTACATATTCTTTACAAATTATTGTTGCTCCATTTATAAGACCATGGTTCTGCTTTAAAGAATGCTTTTAATATTTTATAAAATCTTTGTTGAATGAATTCCTGTGTATTTCCACGTCGGACAAGCTGTTCCAATTTGTTGGCAACCAGGTTTGGGTAAATCGAAATCGAAATTGGAAGTAAATATCTCTCTGATTTCTAGACTAGAGCCAACAAATTTGTAAGACTGACCTCGTACTTGCGGCCACGGTATTTTGTAGTCACAGTTAAATTGCTTGGGGTTTACAAACCTAGAGTAAAAAATTGTTTCGCCCCCTTTCCAGATGCTATTAGGCTGTGAATAGAGTAAAGCATTGCCAACCGTTCCTATAATGAAATTAGCGTATAAAAAGACGCAAATTTTTTGACCATATTTCGATTATGATGGAGAGATTTCGTTTCAGTTTGTATACTTTATGTGTGCCCTCTCTCAAAAGAGGCGACTACAAGAAATCGGAACACATGTATGTATGTACACTGCATGCTCACACATACATATGTATGTATGTACACTGCATGCTCACACATACATACGTACGTTTGAGGACATTTGTATGTATGTGCGTATGTGTTGTGCATTTGTATAGATAAATGCGTAAGCAGGCGCTTTCAACAGAATACATACATACATACATATATATACTAAATTAATTAGATGGCCGTCGGCAGACACTGAAAATACGTCATTTACATACGTATTGCCTATTTGGTCGGAGACTGACATAATTCAAAGACACGATTTTGCAGACAGAAAGAAGAAAACCATTATCATCCTCCCACGTAAAGAATATATATGTAGGACATGGATAACGATTAATACCGATTAATACTAACTAAAAAATCGTGTTTGTAAATTTCATTTCTATCTTTAAGTCTCACACAGCGACTTGATGTTTTTACTAAATGAATATTTTAATATTATTTTTTAGCAGGTGGTTTCGGTGAACGCTTTTAGTATTTGAAGTTATTAGAGAATGCAGAAGCACAAAATCGTGCGGTCCCTCGCACTCGACGTGTTACACCCTAAGCCCACTGAAAATGGCTAAAAAGGGTATATTAGTTTAGTACAAAAGAAAGAACACCTCTTCCTTAAGAATACCTATTTTCCAACTAACCAACTTCAGCTGTCGATTGTGAATAGCTGGCCGAAAGGGCAAATAATAAACCACCATAATATCTGCGATGTTACAAATTTTGGTGTTCCTTTTAAGCTTTTAGCTTTTCATTTTTGTATTATATATGTACTTTGTTTGACACTCGCTTTGTCGATCAATCATAAATATGGGAAATTGCCAAATGGTATTTTGATCTAAAATTCGAAACATATATTGCAATGGGTATCTGATACAACGAGTTTGAATTAGATTAAATATTGCAAATGGTCTAAAGAGTTTATAAGAGTGAAACCGAAGGGCATCCTTTAACCAAAATAAATCGGACAAAATATACATATGTACATATAAAAAATAAATCAAAATCTCAAATCAATCTCAAAACAAAAATGTCAACAAAAAATTGCAATTATATTATTGATATGCTGATTCAATCCAATTAAGCGTTACATACCTGTATGCATACATACATACATACATGGGTATGTACACTTGTACATTAGACACTCATGGATATCTGGATATCTGAATATATACGTATATACTTATAAATATACTTTCATTTACATACATATGTGCATACATAAATTATGTACATGTACAGATATCGAAACGCAAACGCAAACATCAGAACAAAAAAGAAATGAAGAATACTTGCTTCAACCGACGCAATCCAGATTTGTTTGGTTTTACGGTAAAACAAAAATAAGAATTACCCGCATTATTCTTGAGTTTGCTGGCTTTCAAAATGTTATAAGAGTGTGTACACTTATACTTACATATACAAGCATAAGAGAGTATATTGATTTACGTGCGGCTTCGCTAAACGCACGCACACTTATACACACATATGCATCTGTATTTGTATACATGCGTCTACATACACCTGTACTACGAGCCTGTATAGTTGAGTTGTTAACTCACACTCAAACAAGCCTCACGCCGAGAGTGGCAATGGCTGAGAATGAGAACGCAGTGACTCATTAATAAATAAATGTTTGCGGTTATTTGCAGTGTTTTAGACGATTGTGGCTGACCGGTAGAAATTAATATGCTCATTAAAATTGTATAACACATCATTCATCTGCCGTATACCAAAAAGTTAAATAAAATAAATTCGGCACGACGAATATCCGGCAAATGTTCGGAGTTTTTATTAGTTAGCCGATCGTTCCTATTGTATCTATATAAGAGTTTGCCTATCCATATGTTTTTAGCATATTGAAGCTTATAAATGCCGATTGGTCCAAATATCTTAAAACACAAAAATGTTGTTCATATTTTTTTTAGCAAAATTATTAAAGTTTGTACATTTTTGTACAGCAACATTAATTGTATTTTGGTAATTGAAAATATCAGATGTTTATAACTAAATTCCAAAGTTGTGTAGATCGAAAAGTCTCTGAGATCAACACAGACAGACAGAAAGGCGGAGAGGGGAAGATCAACTTGGCATTGAGAAGCCAAAAAATAGTTCAGTTTAAAATTGAAATTGGAAAAAACCGAATTGCAACACTTTTGGCCTGATGATGCCGAACAAGACATAGCTTTGTTTTACCATTCTCATTTTCATACATGTACATCAAGTACATACATACAGAACTCATCTTCTACACATAAATACAATAGTTTAATTAATGCGAACAAGAAATGGTGATGATTTTGCATACTTAAAAATTGATATAAATAGATTTGGCAGCCAAAACATCACCAGCATATTTCTATATGTATATTTATGTATGCGGTTATGTATTTATGTAATGAATTTGAGTATATACAATACTACCATGCTTCAAATTGATATGCATGTCTATATATATGTATATGTATGTATGTACAAACATCATAAACATATATGTATATGTATGGTCTGTATATGTGTATGTATCTGTGACCCTAATATTTTAAAATTTTACTTTAGTTTCGCGAGATTTATTAAGGCAACAAGTTAACTCATTTAGGCACAAATCTAAAGACAAACAAAGTACACTAAAGTGTGTATATGTATGTGTGTGTGTGTGTGTTCTGCGTTGATAAACAAGGAATGATAACACCAAGAAATTGAGTCAGAGCCCCAGCCTTCAGAGAATAATGAAATATATATATGTAGTTATCGGTATCGCATGAACGAACAGGGAACTGTGAAGAAAAATTATTATTTCTTGCTCGTCTTTCGGCTACTTATGCTTAAGCATACGAAAATTGATGTATATAAATACATATATATATTTTTTATTGCAGATTTGATAGAAAACTTGTTTATAATTTTAGTAATTGCTAATCATCATTTATTTATTTTTCTAGCAGTGAAATTTAAAAAAGTAAATTTCTAAACTGCAGGAAATTGTATACAAGAATATTACAATAAAAATGTATTTACAGAAGAAAATTGTTAGATTTCTCATAATTGCCCCTAAAAATGTGTTTTTCAATCTTAGGATGAAAAAGTGAAAAACATTTGATTTTTCTATACTAAACGAAGCTTTTATATACTCTGAGATGTGACTAAAAAGCAGTGTGGAAAATGAACTTAAGTTCAAATAATTTGTTTATGCATACACCAACTTATATTTTAAATTTTGCGCCTCTCATTCATAGTCTTTGATAAAGTTTCGTTCAAGCACACGACGCACATTTCTAGATCGAACCAGTATCAACACAATATATGAACTAAATGTGGTCGAGAATGCATTCGACTGAAATCTTTTTCAGTCGGTATGCGGTATAAATGTCAATATACCCGTTATAAATAGCTTTCAAAATGATGTTGTGCAACTTAACAAAGCCCGAATAAGTCCAGCCAAGTCCTAATGTTATTATTAGTAAAGATAGACGAGACTTGACCAAACCCACATTTATATTCTCTTCTTTGCTAATTGACAGGATTTTAATTAGGATCATAATTTTATGAATATAAAGTAATGTTGCTTTTCTATAAACTATTTCATAAGTTTGTTTAATTCGAATATGTCAAACTGTGGCGTCGTTTGTTATGTACAAAAATCAGTTTTCTGTCAACTTTAAACATATTTGTATTAAAATTTGAAAAAAAAAATCCCAATTTTTTTGTAGCAAACTATGCTAAAATATCATATAGCTCAAATCCCCCTAATTGACCCGGAGCCCTTCTATGGGATCCCGTGGGCCTCCACAGGATCAGAAAACGTGTGTAGTACTCTTGCAAGGGACTCTGACAATCTAGAGGTAGGAATACGGCCCAATCCTTTTGTTTAGACTCCCTTCAGTTTGCCAGTTTTGCCAGTTCTTAGCTAAACATTCCTAGAAGGATAAAAACATGCGAACTACTAGCTATCTACTATATAAGGCGTGTACCCAACTTGCCCTCTGTCTGCATACAGATTACGTACATGGAAATGTACATATACATAAGTACTTATATTTGTAGGTAAATCCGAACCTTTAATTTGTATGCTAGGTATTTCCATTTTCACACAACTACAACTACAAGTACATATGTCAAACAAGCGTCTCACTAAACTTAGTAAAAGCATGTATATAAAGCATAGTAATTATATTGAATTCTATCAATTTTGCTATATTATATTATTGTATTCTGACCTACCTTGTTTGTGCTTCTGACAACTGCAATTCCTTCAGTATTGTGTCTGTGTTCGAGTTATTTTTGTTGTCCTCCTCGCGAAGATTATTAATGAAATTGAATGGTTTTAACACTGTGAACGGAGCATCGCCATCAATATCATTTGCATAAGAGCCAAGGGCCAAATTTAAACAATTTGCGAATGCTAGAATTGTAATTATAAAAGCAAGACAAATGACGTTTGTTGTTTGTGGACCTTCCAATGTAACACATAATTTTGGCCGTGCAATTGATTTTCCATCTCTCACACGCGGCATTCGCAAAATCGAGTTGTCGGTAATTATTTTTGATTTTGACACTTTAGTCCGCCTATGACATTGTTCCAAACACTTTTCACTCTTTTCCATAATACGTATTTGTTGTGATTTTTGCACGTAGTATTTAATAATTATATTATATTAATATTACAATTTCCGTCCGCGCAATACTACGTTGGCACAAATAAAGCTCCAAGAAGCAATATACCTGCTCGTGCTATGCGCTATATACGTACATATGTAATAATCAGCAGTGTGACCGTAGCGGCATACACAATTATACTTAATATATAATAGGAAAATACCAAAAAAAATCCAATCAAGGGAACTCATAACTGATAGATAGTCTTAAATTTCATGAAAATTAGTCACGAAATAATAACAAAATTATTTAATTTCACCCAACACAAATGTACATGCTGCAGATGAACATTGGCAGGTCCAACAGTTTTATCTATTAAGCTACTCTTCATGTTATTCATTTATAATCAAAACTATTTTTTCCAATTAACTAATTAAAAGTAGTGAAACTGCGTAAAATAAATTTATTTTTGTTTATTTCATTGTACTTATTCAAAGCAATCCCCAATATCAGAAGTTCCGTTTTGAATGTAACTACAAATCAATTAAAGATTGAATTTGTTTGACTGTTTTCAAAATCTACAAAACCTGAAGACATTTAAAGATTTCCGGAACACATCTGAACCAGCTGAGTAGTTCATTGCAATGTTCTGTTCATTTGAACTTAATGTGAACTGTTTTATTTTGTTGCTGGAAATATATCAAAGTGAATGAAAATAACAAAAGGGAGCCAAATATGGAAAATTTGGAGGATTTTTCTGCAATTGACATTGTTACATTCGTAACTGAGGAGCTACAGCAAAATTACCGCAAGAGCAATGCTAACAAAACGAAAGTCTTTGAAGAATTTCTCGAGCGGTGGGATGCGAACGACAGCTCCATTGCAAAGGTGAAATCTTTACAATTTGAATTCGAGCCTGGTACGTTTAAAAATTACTTCATTTAATATATCAATAATTAATTTTTACGCTTGCATCCATGCATCTAGATTTGGATTGGTTCAATGTCAGTAGGCCGTTGACACTTGCTGGACTACGCGGAAAAATAGTTGTTTTGGATTTCTTTACATACTGCTGCATTAACTGTATGCATGTGCTGCCCGAGCTGCGAGCTCTGGAGGAGAGGTTTCCCGTCGAGAGCGGACTTGTTGTTGTGGGAGTACATAGCCCCAAATTCGAAAACGAGCGTACTGCGGCCAACATTCTCTCTGCTGCGCAGCGATATGGCATAAAACATCCTATAGTAAACGACTCAAAATCCGCATTGTGGCGGGCGCTGAGCATACGATGTTGGCCTTCGCTATTGGTTTTAAGTCCCAGCGGCTTGCCGATGTTGTTGTTGATGGGCGAAGGCCACGGTGCGTTTCTGCACGACTTTGTTGGCGCGGCTCTGTCCATTTTTGGCCGGCAGCAAAAGATCAACACCTTCAGTCTGCCGCTCCAACTGTCCACAGATCTCCATCCGGCATCTAATTTGCGTTTCCCGGCAAAAATTGCTATGTTTAACGACTCCTATGCTATAGCTGATGCTGGCAACAATCGCGTGCTAGTAGTGACAACTTCTGGAGTAGTAGAGTACAAGATTGGCGGACTCGAGGCCGGGTTTGTGGACGGCAATTTAAATACGGCACGATTTAATAATCCTCAGGGAGTGGCGTTTCTTGATAAAGATACACTAATAGTTGCTGATACCGATAATCATGCACTTCGGCAAATTTCCCTAAAAAGTGGAGCTGTAGAAACACTAGCTGGAACAGGATATCAGGGCAACGACCGGACCGGAGGAAAACAGGGACCGTTGCAGCCAATATCGTCGCCCTGGGATGTGAGTGTATTCCGCACTCGGGACATGGACATGTCTTTCCACGTAGACGAGCTTAATGTGCCAGAGAAACCAATTGTACTGATAGCCATGGCTGGCACACATCAGATTTGGGGTTATTTCCCCGAAGGTATTATTTGGTGGAAGTTTCGCAAATTCGAGCCACGCTGCTGTGTGTCATTAATAGGCAACGGTCTCGAGGAAAATCGAAACAACTCCTATCCACAGAACGCCGCATTTGCGCAGCCCTCAGGCTTGGCCATGTCCAATGACTACCTTTTCATAGCCGACAGTGAAAGCTCTAGCATACGAAAAGCTTCAATGGTCGACGGTAAAGTCATGCCCGTGGTTGGGGGAGATCGCAACCCGTTGGTAAGTTAAATGGCCTTAAATCTAAAGAAAAGCGTGTTAATTAATTATTTTACATTAATAGAATCTATTTGCTTTTGGAGATGAAGATGGCAAACTTTACAACGCAAAACTTCAGCATCCATTGGGCGTAGCGTTTAACCATATAGATCGCAAGCTTTATGTAGCCGACACATATAATCACAAAATAAAGGTAATTGATACCGACACAAATATAATTTCTACGTTGGTCATCAGGAACAAAGATAACAGCATCCTGGCACTTAGAGAGCCATCTGGAATTTGCGTGGATGCCGAAGGAAATAGATTATTAGTTGCCGACACAAATAACCACACCATTCATATAATTGATTTGGCCACGTGCACAGCGCAACCATTTTTGCTGGACTTTAAACAAATTTCTAGCACCAGCGAAACAGACGCACCTGCAACTTCATTAAGAGGAATTGGCGCACAGCTGGTAAAGACTATTCCTTTGCTTCAGCACAAAGGCAGCACTATAAACTTCTTAATGAGGCTTTCGTCGGACCTAAAGTTTACGACCGATGCTCCACAAAAGTGGACAATGAAAATTATAAATCCGGCTTTGGAAATGAAACAAACATGTGGAAAATTAACTGAAGGAAAGTGTAGTTTGCATTTAAGGCATTTAGAAAATATTAGTTCTGAAACAGTTAGCGAAGCTAATCAAACTGTTTTGGTAATTGAATTTGCGCTGAGCCTTTGTGACGCTAAAAGCTGCCTTATGAAGAAATTCACTGTTTCTATTGTAAGTGAACGTCCCGTAGAAGATTCGCCTCTTCCACCCAGTGTCACTGGTGGTGATAATACACTTAACGCGGATATTGGAATATATATAAATCAATCTAATATTAGTTTGTGTTAATAAAAAAAACAGGTGCCTGATTAGACAACTAAAAATAGTCTAGTTTCACAAATTGGAACAATTAAAGTAAATAACAATGTAAAATTCTAAAAAAAAAAGTATAAAAAACTAGAACCATGTGTATTGTCTCCTTGACCATAGTTTTGAGAATTTTATATCAAATGGACTTCTTTACAGTTTGTTTGGCATACATAATTATATGTAGTTCAACATTACGTAAAGCCAATATAATATTTGTGACTTTGTGCACAGACTTTAATTAGGAAAATCGACCATCATTACATTACATTTTGATGGGGATTTGCCATTGTGTATTAATCTTAATGGAGAAATTGTAAAATTTTGTGTATAACATGATCTTGATGTTTTTAATTATTATTATTGAAATAAAACTTTGATGTTTATTAAATAAATTGTATGAAAAAAGTGTCATTACTGACAGTAACATTTTGAACTAGGGTTTTTTGCAAATTCTCTTAGCCGCTTCCGAGCCTCCAGTTGCTTTGCAAACTTCGGAAAGTAAGTCCTTTAAAATGGATTCTTGTCTGCCTTGCGAACCGTCTATTGTTATTGTTGGAATAAATTTAACTGGCGGTCGAAGCGCATGTGTCGCATCTCCGTTGAGTTTCATTAACTCGGAGCCGTGGTCGCTATCAAAACACTTCTGTATAAGATCAATATTTTCAACATTGTACTGCTTGGCACACTGCAAGGGATATAGGAATATATACATAAATAATATTGAGTTGAAATAATTCGAGCTGAACCTTTTGCATTGCATCTTTGGGAATGCGATTGTCTCGAATCATGCAGTTCACCACTTCCAAGCGAATTAGTGGATCATCAATGACTTCTGCAGCGCATGCATGATACGTATTCGCTTGGCATTCCGTCGGACCATGTTGGCAGTCAAATATTAGCTTCCCTTCATCGTCTGTTGTCGTGTGTGCCTTAAATACAAAATTTTGACTTCCGAATTAAAGTACTGTATACATTTACACTAACCTTGCCATAAGGCACAAGCTGCACTTCCATAATCGGGGCAGCGACTTTGTACGCAGGCAGCAGTTGCTTGGTAATAAAGTATTTGGAGTCCGGACAGAGAGCTTCATAAAATACCGTTACTAATACGGGCAGTGGGGCTCCGCCTGACGCCCTGCGATAGTTTGGTTCCTCCTAAGAAGCAACACCAAAATTAAAATACATATACATACATATATTAATTAGATCTGGTAAATCACAATAGCAACCATTAAATGAAAAACTTTAATTAAATCAAACCGTTCCCCATACATGAATCTAATTTTGTTTTCTTGCCCCTCACGGCCCCCGCCGGTAAACATCTAGCGCTCACTTATCACCCCCATACTTATCAACATATGTACGTTTTACATGTCAACCGCAAGATCAAAGCCAAGTGTTCATGTAGACACCTGTTTTTCATGTAGGTAGGTAGTCGTACAGCTACTTAAAATCAATGCATACGGAAATGCTTTATCACCATTTATGCGTTATTACTAGCACTTACCTTTGAAACCAGTAATGGCTGGGGAAATAGTAGAATTCGCAGCAAAAGTCCTAGTGTGACAATTAAGAATATAAGTATAAAAATTCGTTTCCTTGTGGGTATCATTTAGTATCCAATTCATTGAGCAAAAAAAAATAATTTGTGCAGTATGTGCAATTACAAAACACGTCAAGACATATACATAGGTGTACAAAGAGGGGAGAACAAATATAAGTAATAAACCAACATTATATCAATAAACACGTATTGTCCCAAACTCCTATCTCATAAGTACTAAAATACACCAAAAACAATGTATAAAAATACCACACGCGGAATGCAAAGAAGGCAAAGGCCTCGTTTCAAAAGTTGGTCACCTAAAAAAGTATTTTAATTGGGGAAAATACAAAACACGTAATATTTATACTAATTCAAATGAATGCATTGATACTGTAAATTTATATTGTTTTTATAACCATGAATGAATTGAAATGAATAAAATTAAACAAACATTTTTCCTAAAAATATTAAAGATCAAAATTTTTGAATGATATCGGATGGTTAACAAATTTTACAATATTCTTTATTTCCACGGTTTTCTACCAATTAAAGTAACATAAAACAAGAGCAAAAGAATAATAATTGTCAAATTTATAAAATAAACACAACACTTATTTGGATCTAAGAGGAATTTTATTTGGTATGACTGAAGATAAATATATATCACTAATTTGAATTTAACAAAGATTAAATCTGTAACACATAAAAAATTGACGATTTAAAGCTAAAACATTTAAGTTGAAATATTTGGAATTTGAAAACAAGAGTACTCTAGCCAGAAGATACCCTAATCCCTCTACCAATAATCGATAATCGGCGACAAATTCGTACTGTGCGGATACTTAGAGGACCTACGTTCAAAACTTCAAGTCTTAAGCTCTCCCACACATCAGGGAACCGAAGATGAGAGCTCATTCTATTTTATGCTCTTCAGGTTAAGAAAAAGTTAAATTTTTTAAATATCGTATCTTCTATACTAAATAGTTGCCAATCCATCAATATTAATATCAGTCACTGTTCAGATCTCCTTGTTAATCACTTTATTTTTTTTCTACTTTGGTAAAGAATATAATAACCAACTATCTATCTAGCGTTGAAATAGACGTGACTATTATGGACTTCGGTTCTAGCACCCTTAATCTATACACTGCACTGCAAACCAAGATTCTACTGAGAACTGAAATTCGTGTTTTCGAACTCAGCGTTAAACACTGACGATATCTCCTTTATCATATCACTAGCGACCAAACTGCGTCCCAGCTTTTGAAATGCTGCGAAATTGATTTTTTTCACGAAATAACTTGAGGCACAAACAGCTAAATATGCTGGATTGGGTTGGTTGGACTGCAAAGACCAATAAAAGAACGTTGCCAGAGAACCGCTCAATAAATCGCCCTGACCACCACAACGACGGCCCGATCCACCTGTTGGCATGGTGTACACTTCATTGGTGTGTGGTATATGGATCTTATCATTTGCGCCCTTTTCAAGGATCACAACCCCATCACCAAGCAGTGACATCCGTTCGCGTGCAGTCGCCGGGTCTTTCCCAAATAATCTTTGGAATTCGATTGCATTTGGAGTCAATATAACGTCCCGTTGTCCACATACTAGCTCGATATTATCGTTTAATATGAACAGCCCATCTGCGTCTATCACAATTGGTTTCCCAATCTCAAGGCATAGCTTCATTACATCTGTAGCGGTTTTAAGGATACGAGAATCTCGCCCTAAGCCAGGTCCAATTACCTGCAAGCCAAAAAAAGCTTTGTAAAGTGGGTAAACATATAGTTTTTTGTGTACATACAAGAACATGTAATCGGTCGATCCACGGTTTGATTAGCTCAACAGCATCGTCACGGTCCAGCACAGGATGTACAATTAGGTCGGGGCTGTATGATTTTATAACTGTCGCTGCTTCAGTATGACAGAAAACGTGCGACAAGTCCGCTCCCACTTTCATAGCAGTTATTGCTGCAAAATAGGGTGCTCCAGTATATTCCAGGGATCCACCGATTACACCGATGCGACCATATTGACCTTTATATTTTCCATTACTCAGTTTGGGTATAATTGTTCTGAATATTGTCAGCAGTTTCTCTGTATGCACTGGTATTTGTATTATTTTCGACATTTTGCTCTATAGATCGAATTTTTTGTTGAAGTAGGCTGTTGAAGAGAGAGAGAGCCGCATAAACTATTATATTTTTCACACTTTTACTGTAAACTTTACACTGTAAAGATTGTTGACCACATCGATGTTCCAATTTCCAATTCGATTGTTTTGGAGTGATATAATATACCGATATTTTTAAATGCTAAGCCATGCCCCTCTCAACTATCGATAAGAAATATGAAGAGGGAAATAAATCAGCTGTTCTCTGTTTACAAATCAGCAATTGAATGGCGGCAAGCTAATACAAATTTTAAATGCAAACCATAAATAGAAACTTGATTTGGTTGATTTCTTTTTAACACACTTATTGGATATTAGTTAATAGTTTGGTCATAAAAAAAAAGTTCACGTCGGACAATTTTCTATTACCTTGCCGTATTTTCCTGGCATTTACGATCAGCTGCTAGTTTTATTCGTGTAAAGGTGGCAGCCTTATCAATTGGTCAAAATATGCCAACAAATAGATAACGCTACTGTGGAAGCATTTAGAGAAATATATTCTTTTTAAGCGATAAATGTGAAACCTGAGGCTATTTTCGCAGTGAAAATCAAATCAAATCAAATTAAAAAAGTATTTATGCTAGATATATAATATAAGAACTTATTACTTTAGGAATACCCTTTATGTATTTATTAGCAAAAATTGAAGATCTGGTAGCCCCATGCCACCTGATCTATGTGATAAGATGTATATTGTCCACATTGTATATATTTACATACGTACATTCGCCAGCGAATCAACATACTTTGTTGCGCAATAGTGTTAAGAACTTAAATTTTTTATTCCATATTATTTCTATAAATTTAAAGAATAATCATGAAAGTATCTTCGCTGGCCCGGGGATTGTTCAGTGCAATAAAGTCGAATGCGGCATCTTGTACGCGCTCGCACTTCACATATTACCCGACCAAATTCTCGCCAGGCGCCGGCGATGTACAAAAAATGAATATGTTCCAAGCAATAAATAATGCGATGGATCAGGCTCTTGAACAAGACTCGTCAGCATTACTATTCGGTGAAGACGTAGGCTTTGGTGGAGTTTTCCGGTATTTTTAATTTAACTTGCGATCTTTTATACCATGCTTATGTTTTTTTTTTTTTTTTATTACAGTTGCTCTGTAAATCTGCGGGACAAGTACGGAAAGGATCGTGTCTTTAATACACCGTTGTGCGAGCAAGGCATTGCTGGGTTTGTATATACTCTACATTGACTTTAAATTTCACAAACTCTTAATTTTAATTCAAAGAAGAAAATCAATTAAGATGAAACCAAAATCTTTCAAACTGCAAAGACACATTTTCTGGATCGGGCAACTATATCATATAACTTTCATTGGGAGCAATCGGTAGAAAACATTGCTCTAGCATAAAAGCATAGAAGCTTTAGAATAGATTTTATCAAAGTTCAAAAGTATATATCTATACTATCGGATTGAAGCCTTGCCAGTTTTGTGCTTAAAATTTTAGACATAAGGCTTTTACCAGTTCCCGCTGGTTGAAAATTTAAATTTACCCGAACTATCTTCAACTCCACGTCTAATGAAAAAATATGTTTGAAGATCATCGAATAAGGAACAAAAAGTTGGAATCAAGATTTCCGTGCTGTCTTCAAGCCGAAGAAGAAACTATTGTTCATTAAACCTAAAACGTGTTAAATATATTTTTACAAAGACAAAACATTTTTGCATGTTCCACTAGCAAATGTGGTAAGTTTTTAGATAACGCTCTTACGAAATCTTTACTTTGCCGTCCAATCGCCAAAAGTTGCGAGGTCAAAGTTTCAAGTTTCGTTCGTTCGGCTTTAAACTAATTTTGTAAGTACGTTTTTTCCATCCAGGAGAGTTTGATGTCACAAAAACATTGAAACATGACTCACATGAGTTTTTATAAAGATCCTTGGATGTGAGATTAAACCGAAACTCGATCCATCGGTTTTTCTTCTTTTTCTGATTGATTCTGACTGTATATAATAATTTTATAATCGAATATTTCTATAATATTATTATTTTAAATTTAAATTATAAATTTTTTTTTAGCTTTGCAATCGGCGTGGCTAACACAGGAGCTACCGCCATAGCCGAAATTCAATTTGCCGACTATATATTTCCAAGCTTTGATCAAATCGTAAATGAGGCTGCCAAATACCGTTATCGAAGTGGTGGCCTATTCGACTGCGGTTCCCTGACGTTCCGAGTACCTTGTGGCGCTGTTGGACATGGTGCTCTATATCATTCGCAGAGTCCCGAAGCATACTTCGCGCACACGCCCGGCCTACGTGTTGTGGTAAGAAATTTGTTTTAGGTTCATAAAAAAAGAAATAGTGTTTTAGATCTGTATGTTTAGATCTGTGTTATAGTTAATTAGCTTGACTTATACAATCGTTTATATTACATCGTATATATTACAAAAAAAATTGCAGATTCCGCGTGGTCCAATTAAGGCAAAGGGTCTCTTACTGGCGTGTATTCGCGATGCTAACCCGTGCATAATGTTCGAACCAAAGACATTGTACCGCGCCGCGGTTGAAGAAGTGCCAACGAAAGCCTATACGGATGATTTGGAAAAATGCGACATTTTGCGTGAGGGCAAAGATGTCACTCTCGTCGGCTGGGGTACACAAGTTCATGTTCTTTTGGAGGTAGGTCTTGGTTTAAGAACCAAATTTAATGAAAATAATGTGGTTATTTTCAACTTATAGGTCGCAGATCTGGCGAAAAAGCAACTGGACATTGATTGTGAAGTTATAGACCTGGTATCAATTTTGCCATGGGATACTCAGACAATTTGCAATGTGAGACACATTCATTATATTGGGTAGATTCTATTGCTTGTATTTATAAACTTTCTTTTTATTTCAGTCTGTTAATAAAACGGGTCGCGTGTTGATTGCCCACGAAGCACCATTTACTCAAGGATTTGGTTCTGAAATGGCAGCTTATATACAAGAGAAGTGCTTTTTGCGTCTTGAAGCCCCGGTAAAGCGGGTGACTGGCTGGGACACTCCATTCCCTCATGTGTTCGAACCTTTTTATTTACCCGACAAACACCGGTGCCTGGCCGCTCTTAAAGAAATCGTCAATTATTGATCTTATATCAATAACTATATACTAGTAACGGATGCATTTATTTTCAATTATTTCGTTGTTTTATTACAATTGTTAGATAACTTAATCGCAATATATGCGGAGGGGTTTGAGGAGCTAAACCAATAAATAATTTTGGTACAAACGAATCTATATTTTTGTATACATATATAAAAAAAAATAAAGCCTAGGCGTTCCAAATGAATTTATTATCATAAAAAGTATTTCTAACGATTTCGATATTGGAAAATATTTTTTTAAGCGTTTTAATTATACCATGCCTGTTGTTAGATTGATTGTTGTTAGATTGTTGTTTGTTATGGTAGACTTACACTCTTAGGGTAAAATAAATAACCTAAATAAACCTCGAAGTTTATTAATTTTTACGTGTATTATGAAAGTCAGGTTAAGCCTGAATGAGAAATAATTTATTAGAAACCCACTTTAATACGTGGGAGATAATTTATTGTACTCGCTTCGCTTTGACAAGAGTGTACTAAGTACGACTTGCTCTGTCCGCCTATGAAGCTAGATACTTGATAGTTGGAATATATACTCGTGTATATCCGTGTTAGTGTTGTTTATTGGTTACGGCCTCAACGGGCGGCTATATAATCCTACAGATCTATGAAATTTTGCGTTTATACTTCTAGACTTCCTTTAAAGATAGAGTAAACAATATTACGGCCGTGCTAATACAACATTCTAGTGATCATTCTAGAATTAAATGTAAATACAAGATTTCAATACGTGTACAACGGAAATCAGCTGCTGTAAAGGAATATTCGAGAACAATCAAAATGCTAGTTTGATGATTTATTGCACCAACATATTTGGCAATGAACAGGGCGTATTAATTTATATGTTTATATTTGAGGTTTGCTCATATCAACTACTTCATAACTATTAATATATGTAATTACAAAAAAAATTAACAAAGACTAATGAAGAAATTGTAATAATTGAAATATATTTTAGATTAATTATTTTGCGCTATGTGCTTAACCCATATCCTCACAGTGATAGTATATTGATGTATACATATTGGGAGGGAATCGGATTCCGTAAAGTGTATTATCACATTTTTCACTATTTTTCACGTTTTGGTTTACTAAAAGAAAGGTATAAGAATATTATTTTAACGACAGTTAATACATTTAATTTTTAATAATAATTACAACTAAAACTGTGTTTATAAATTATGATATTCCATTTGTATATAAAATCACGGCATAGGAAATAAATGGGATGTGATAATTGCTCTTGAAAATTATAATATTTTACTTTCTAGCCATTGCGATTCCTAGACCCAATATGCCACCGAGAACGAGCGCTGCTCCTCCAGCAACTGCAATACCCTTCGCAACCTCCTTATCGCTTTGTTTCTTAATGTGTTCCTGGTATAAAAAGGAAAATCGCAATATTAAACTTATACACTAGGATATTTTTTTGTAATATCAAACTTGCCTCTAACGAGCGTACTTGGTCATTTGATTCAATTTCAAGAAATGCTCTACAGTACTTGAGGCCTTCTGAATAGTTTTTAATTCGCGCATTTCCAAAGGCGAGATAATAAATGTAATCACGTCGTCCATCCGGGTGTAACCGAGCAAGCTCTTCCAAAATCATGATGCCCTGTTTTTAAATTGCACATATTAGTAATATGTACGTATGTATGTATGTATGTATGTAATCATTAGCCATACTACGCATGCAGAGTAAGTGCAGATACTGACTCACCTTTCTAATGTCATTGGTGTAGCGACTCCGAACGAGACAGAAAGCGTATCTACCATTTCAAGAAGTAGAGGCAGATCGTAACATTTAAATAAAATTGGGAAGAACACAAAACTCTCTTACGTACTCAAATTTTGTTTCTGTTGAGACTTCGCCATCGAGTTCAAGCTCATGGTGGTATTTCCTTTCGAACCTCTGGAACAAAATAACTTTACACATATTCATATGTGGTCCATATGCCTATACACATACCTCCAAATCTTCCACGGGCACAACGTCGTTCAACAGTTCCTCCATTGTTTGTTGTATTTCACAATATTAAGTATTGCTTGTATG